ATAGAGCTATCACAATGCCCAGTGGAGCAAGAGAAAGTCTCATTCATTATTTACTGGTGGGAAAGCAAAATGGTGTGGCTTTCTCAGACGACAGCTGGGCAGGTTCTCACAAAACTAAACATGCTCTCACCACACTGTCCTGCCAGTGCTCTCCGCGGCATTCACCAAGGTGTGTTGAAAGCTCATGTCTACACAAGAATCTATGTGCACATGCTTGTAGTAGCTTCATTCAAAAGTATCAAAACTGGGAAGCAAAAAGATGCAGGAGGCAAATGGATCAGTCACATGATGGAAGGTTACAAACACAATGCGCAATTAACAGTTGAAAATACTTGGAGTAATCTTAAATGAATGTGACTAAGCAAGAGAAGCCAATCTGAAAAGGTTGCATTCTGTATGAAGCCAACTACGTAACTAGCTGGAAAATTATGGAGCCATTATAGAGATGGCAGTGAATGTTAGAGGTTAGCAGGGAGGGAGAGATGAGTATAGTGCAGGAATGACACAGCGCTGCATAAAACTGAAAAGTTAGGAAACACTAGGCGTTGTTAACACACACAAACCTACAAAATACAATGAGAGAAACCCACCATGTACTAAGAACTTTAACTACTCATATGCCAACACTGATGTACATTGCCACATTAATGCAAGTAATGGGAAACACAGGGCGAGGAGAGGAAGCATAGGACAACTTCTGTCAACACACGGCTGCTTAAAGAGTATGAATTAAACGTGTACATGCAGGTTGACAACATTCATATCCATTGATCAAATGGTTCCACTTGTCATATTCTTTTAACATGTGGAACATACTAGTCGGAAAACGTTTCTTGCAGAAGGAGGAGAAAATCGGAGCCTATAGTTCCTTACTAATAGCCACAGGGATAAAAGCAGGCTTCAAACTGGGATTTGAAGAGTTTAAGGAAGGGCAGGGGGATTGCCTGTAGAAGCACAAAAATGGAAATACAATAACAACGATGTAAAAATTAAGTCTATAAGTATAGACTGGATTAAAATTAAATTTGTGCAAAACCTAACAAAGAGGAGGGGAAAAGAATATTGGGGGAAAGGAAAATACGGTCATTTTCTCAGAACTATACCTATGGAATGCACAAAATCTGTTCTCTTTGAATAATAAAAAAAGGAATGTTACTGCAGATTACAGTCATAGTTAATGATATTTGTATTACGTTATCAGGAGCCATGAGATCATGGATAACTTGAATTTTCTTTTTCAGTTTCTTCTAATTTGCTTTCTAGATCTTCAGTTGCCTTTTGCATCTGTGGATTCAACCCACTTGGATAGAAAATACTTTTTAAAAATTGCATCTGTACTGAGCATGTACAGACTTGTTTTTTGTCATTAACATTTTCAAAGGCATTACACTGTATTAGGTATTTTGGGTAATTAGATGATTTAAAGTATATGGCAAGATTGTATAGCTCACGTGCAAATACTGCCCATCAATCTATTAAGGTGAGCATGCACTGACATTGCTATCCCCTAGACATTATGGGGCAACAGTATGTATGTATATAGGTCTATATGTATATGACCTATGAGTCCCTCAGTGATCAGAGAAGAGCAAGGGGGAAAGCTGGATGACTAATAACACTCACACCCAATTACTCAGTAGCTTACTACTAAGCAGCAGTAAGGGGGCCATGGTCCTCAGTGCTTTCTCAAGGTGCAGCTCTTTTCGGGTTACTCAGAGTTGCAAAACTTGATAGCATGGGGTTGCTTACAGGCAGCCAGAACATTTGTCCTTTGAAGCACTTCAGCCACCAAGCGAGCCTGAAGCATACAAAGATAAAAAGGCAAATAGAGACTCACAGAGCAGGTGAGAGGACTGACAAATTACTTGTTCCCTCACCAACCAGAGCGTAGTTAATTATGAATTCTTGGTGAGAGGACAAGCATGGGAGATGTACAGATGAATGAATGAACTCTCTGGCCTGTAAGAATCCCAGTCTAGCCTGCCCAGAACCCTCAACCTTCCAAAGCTTTCACGTGCACCCGTAAAAGAGGCCAGGCTCACTAATGTGACCAGGACTCTGTTAGCATCTCCTCTGTAGTGTCGTCCTAGGAGGCAGAAACCATCCCAATCCTCATTTGGCAGTCCCTGCTCACTTAGGCTGACTTGAAGTCAGGGAGTTTAGTTGTGACTCTGCCCCCTACTCAGCCCAGTAACATCAAGCATTCAGATCAAGTACTGGTGATTCAAGATCAGAATGATTCACTGTTTCAAATCTGCATACTGTGAATGGTAACAGTATTGATGGCTTGGAGGAGGCTCAAATACAAAGAGAGACAATACAACTTGCTCTGCACCGATCCACCACAAACCTGATTTACAAGCATCTTTTTGTAAAAAATGATTTATGTGAAAGGCACATTTTGACAAAGAGAAGGAGAGACTAAGAAAGACAGAGAGAGGGAGTGAGGGAGAGAGATCTTTCATCCACTGGTTCACTCCTCAAATGACCGCAACAGCTGAAGTTGAGCTGATTTGAAGCTGGGAGCCAGGAGCGTCTTCCACATCTCCCACACGGCTTCAGGGTTCCAAGGACTTGGGCCATTCTCTGCTGCTTTCCCAGATCACAAGCAGACAGCTGCATCAGAAGTGCAGTAGCTGTGACATGAACTGGTGCCCTGAGAGGACGCCAGTGCTACCCTCCTCCTCTTACAACACTAAGAATGCAGGTGCTAAAAACCTTCGCAGTAATGGAAGGGTAAGGCTGGTAAATGGAAATGACCCACCATTCTTTTTTTTTAAAGATTTGTTTTTATTATTTTTTTTATTGGAAAGACAGATATACAGAGAGGAGAGACAGAGAGGAAGATCTTCCGTCCGATCATTCACTCCCCAAGTGAGCACAACGGCCGATACTATGCCAATCCGAAGCCAGGAACCTCTTCCGGGTCTCCCACGCGGGTGCAGGTTCCCAAAGCTTTGGGCTGTCCTCGACAGCTTTCCCAGGCCACAGGCAGGGAGCTGGAAGGGAAGCGGGGTTGCCGGGATTAGAACCGGTGCCCATATGGGATCCTGGGTGTGCAAGGTGAGGACCTTAACCACTGCGCCACTGCGCCGGGCCCTATCCTTCCATTCTTTTGATTTATCATGTATACCATATCAATGACACCATCTTCATTCCCTATGCTGGTTTTATTTCCACCGATATGAGCAATACCCAGTTGTGGACTCAGAACCTATAAAATCAGGGCTGTTTTGCTTTTGTTTTTATTTTCATGGAGGAAAGGAAAAGAGGAAAGAAGGTTTGAGCACATGCTCTGGAGTTGGCATTTCATCTCCTGAAGATGCAGCAAAGCAGGAGGCGGAGGCTGGCAGGGAAAGGGGAGGTCCTTTCCCCAAGGACCTCAGCTGCAGAAAGGGGCCAGACTCTGGCTGGCCTCGTTCCTGTGTAAGCCTCACCAGCTGGGAAATGCTTCTTAGCCAAAGAGGTGTATAGGCAGGGAAGCTCACTGTGAGGGCAGAACACAAAGCATTAGGACTAGGAAGGTGAACCTCCTGAGAGCAGTGGGTAAAGGCGCCCACAGACCTTTCACACCCATTCATGCCGACCTTTCATGGGCAGAACCTCTCTGCGGGTCCAGACCAATGTGTGACACCAAAACGAGGGGCTAGAGCTCTCATACCACATGGGAACTCCTGCCTGGGACCTTCAGGGAAACCACCGACATCTGAATCAGGTCCTGTGACCCTTGTGGCTCTGAGCCTCAGCGCAGGGGAATACCCTTTGTCTTCAACCCTGCCACACAGTTCCAGGGTTCACGAGAGAAAATGCCACCTTTGAATCATGGCCATGCAGTGCTCTCTGGAGGCCTTGGCACGTGTCACCAAGGCCAATGGGAGGTGCATAACTCTGCCATGAAACACATAAAATTCAGCCACGGGGCTTGGTGTGGCCTAAGAATGCCTCATCAATCCAGGAATCAGCCTGTGGGCGGCAAGGCTGAGAAATGCCATATGGCCTAGTTTACATTTTGTAATCATGCTGTCAATTGAGAGGAAACCCTGAGAAGGTATGTGACCTGCCCACGAACACACAGTGAAGTTAGATAAACCCAGAAACAATTCAGGGGCCCATTACCTCTTTCCCCATTGCCACATTACTCAGAACAAAAGATGAAGCAAAGCATTTTAGAAGCAACAAATAGGAAAGGGGTGTGAAATCCAAAGGTGAGTGATTGTGGCTCTTTGTAATGTAACCTTGGCTAAGAACACTGAGCTGTGGCCCTATTGGCATTTGCCTTTCCCACCCCACCACACAGAGGAGGGTGCACTAACAACACAACCTCTAGATCAAAGCACGGTGCAAGCGCTGCCATTCAGAATCTCAGAGCTAGAAGAGGCTCACTGATTTCACTGTGCAGTTGAGAAAAATACAGAGGGCCAGCGAGTGATGTGATCAGGGAAGCCCAGCTGGCAACGGCAGGGCTAACACCAACCCTACTATCACCCTTCAGACTTGAGAATGCCCAGGGTTCAGTACGCTTCGCTAGATTCTAAGGAATAGGGATTCCAGCACATCTTCTACCCCTTAGCATTTCACATATTTCTACTTGTCTGGCACAATCTCCAAGACGGGTAGGTAACTGACTTTGATAAAATATGGCTACCGAAAGATAGGAGTGGATGTGCTTAGTTTGTCAACACCCATATGAGAAGTGATCTGGACATATGTTGAATGGGAAACCAGATAAAGAATGTATTTGGTCCAGGCAAAACTGACATATCCACCCAATGCAATAAAATGATGTAGCAGTTAACGAGGAGGTAGTTAACATAGACAGCATTCCTTGATATACTGCTGAGTGAAGAGTAAACTGCAAGCTGCTGCCCATCACAGGCCTAGTAAACAGCAACATGCATCAGCAAGGTATGCAAGGACAAACGTAACCCACGTTACTAAACAGAGATGATGACAAAGACATGCAACAGTGTCCAAAAAGGATTCCAGGCTTATTTGGAAAGTTTAAGATACTAAAGTTGAAAGTTTATTATTTTTCAAGTTGACTATAATAAAATATTAACTTTAGAAAAATGCAACCAAAATAGAAAAGAATTAGGTTACAACAATATATGTTTATTCCTTCACTACCTGAGCACCCACTATGTGTCAGGCAGGAAACAAGGGGAAAACCTGAGCACCCACTATGTGCCAGGCAGGAAACAAGGGGAAAGATGCAGCTCCATCAGCAAAGTTCTCTGTGAGAGAAGCTTATCCACGCAGCAAGTACCGTGGGGTTTGCCTGTGTCTCCCTAGAGTTCACGTTGGAAACTTTGTCCCCCAAACTCACAAGCTGACTGCATTTGAAGGTGATTAGGTTCAGATGAAGTCATCAGGTAGGGCCGCCAGGAAGACATTAGTGGCTTTAGAAAAAGAGGAAGAGTGACTTGGGCAGGACACACTGTGTCTCACCGCGAGAGGCTTGACCATGGTGTGATGCAGTGAAAAAGTCCTTGCCAGACGCCACGGTCTTGCCTGTAGACTTGCCAGGCTCTGGAACCATGAACCACAATCAGTTTGATTGCCTACAAACATCCCAGTCTCGGGAATTCTGTCAGAGCAACAGAAAACATCCCAAGACCATCAGCATGTTGAGGTATGTGATATGAGCTCTGCTGCAAGAAGCAAGCAGAGCTCAGCAGGAAAGTAGACAGTGATGTTTCTTGGGAACACGTGGTCACAGCAGAGTCCCTAGGACATTCCAATTCAGTCTGCCACTTTGCAAGAAGACGCTTGTGACAACAATTTGCCGACGGACAAATCTTGTCGAACTGTAGTGGAATTTCCGTTGCCTTTGACGTTAGATGGAGTTCATGAAGGAATGTCGTAGTAGAAAGGAGAGCTTGCCAACACAGAACCCCTGTGCAGACGGAGCCAGGGCTGTTACCCGTGGGCGCTTTGGCTGTTGCCTGTGGGTCACTCAGGCTAGAAAAGGCATCCGCTGAAACTGCTGTTTTAGTTTCTAAAAGCAAGCTATGAGAAGATGCAGTATGAGAGGAAGATGGCTGCTCAAGCTCCTGGGGGGAAACATAGGCACGTGAGTTGAACTACTTAAGAGTTGAAATTGAACACACCATATCTCCTTGCAGCAACTGCTAGGTAATTAGCCATCCTAATAGAATCCTTTCAAAACCAAGGCCATTCAACAAGAAGGTTTAATTGAAAATAGCATTTTCAGACTAACTATTCTGTCAAAAATACATTAAACAAAGATAGCTCAACAGTGACCAAACCACTGGCACAATGTGCACGAGAATTATGGGAAAGAGGGGTGTGTGGGCGCAACTGGTGGCAACTGGCTAGGCTCCTTTTCCCAGGTGCACGTGTCCTCTGGCTTCTGGTTAACATCTTCCACTGTCGGCTGGGGACTGGCGCCTTGCACTCTCCTGCAAAGAAGGAGTCAGGATTAAAGTCTAGAGATGAAGCAGGCAAGTGAAGAGCAAATGTCACCTGCTATTCAAGGACACGTTCCTTCGGCCGTCCTACCCCAGCTCCCAGAAGCTGCCCTCAGCACTTGGGCTTCATCTTTGCCAGTCACCTTCAGCTGGGTGACTTCTGCTGCACAGCTTAACCTCCCAACGCAGCAATGTTTTCTTCTCAAAAAACAATGCTTCCTGTATCCCCCTGGGTGGTCAGGAAAATGAAATGTGTGCATGACGATGTGGCATGGGCTGTGATGCTGTGGTACTATGGGCAGCATGGGGAAATGGGGAAGGCTCCTTCTTTGTACTTTTCAAATAGGTCAATGGCTGAACCAGCAGCCTGGACATTGCCTGAGCATCCAAGAGTTATGCAGAAGCTCAGCTCACAGAGAAAACTTGGCGAAAAATCAGCACTGAGTGAAGTGCTTCTACAAATCTGTGTGTCCGCCTGGCCTGAACCACCCTGAGGTGTGGGCTTCTGTGTTAACAAGCAGGCATCCTCCAGCTCCAGGTGGGATAGACAACGTGGCCCAGCTTTGGGGAAAGCACCCTTGACTGCATCCAGTCTTCCTCCTGCCCTCCAGCGTGTTAGCACTGCATTCCCTGCTATGTGCAGGGTGCTGAGATGACTGCAAGGCCTTGGCTACACACAGCAGCTCAGCGGCAGCTGGTAAGAAGCAAACGGGTACAGGGTTTCCAGACCTCAGGTGATGTGACAGCACAGTAGTCACCTCTTCAGTCTGGGCTCTACCAAACCCCACCTCCATGCCCAGTAAACAAGGCAACAATGTGTACACATAGGAGCTCTCCATGCACAGAGCTCTCTAAGGCCATCAGCTGTCCATACAGGCACTGACTGCTCTGGGAAAAAATTAATAAAGGCAGGATGCGGGGGAGGATGTGGACACAGCAGCATCCATATGACTGATGAAAAACGGAAGCTGTTACCTTCAGAAATATAGTTCATGACAGGTATTAGGTCCCACCTGTCCTCAACTGGCAGTGAACCCTGGAATCAGGGCATAGGGCCACAGCTTTGGTGCTCTGACCTTTGAAATCTGCTACTGCAGGAACCCTAGGCTGCAATGTGAATGGGTCTGAATCAGCTTGGCAAGGATGGCTGTTTCCAAAGTAAAGTTAGCCAGCTCCAATCCCCGGGGCAATGGACACATTTTGGTGCTGCTTCATTGCTTCTGAAATTCTTGCAAATGGCTCATCAGACTGACCAGCGGGGAAGATCCTTTGGATAGAAGAGGCAGCATTGCTCAGAAAGTTGGCCAGATTTAGACATCCGCTGTAAGGTGACCATGTGGGTTGCTGAGTAGTCCATCAGCTACTGCTCCATTAAAATAGTTCCAGTTCTGCGCAGGTGTAAGACAGACCGCAATGTGCAGGATGAAGAACTGGTCCTGGCTTGCTGCAGCTAAGACAGCCCTGTTATCACTGTGGTCCAGTCTAGTGAATGAGACACAAAGGTGAAATCTACTGAGAATTTCTGGGGAAAATTTTCTTTCCTTACAAAAGACTGAGGTTTGCAGGAGAAAAGAGGAGCTTTTATTTTGCCTGGTGATGTTCCTCTGTGCCTGAAGTGCTGTTGTAGCAGAAAAGCACACAGCTGAGAGGCTGATCCAAGCCCTCACACAGCTGAGCTGTGGAATGCGTCCTCTCCGATGCATCTGATAATACCAGGTGCTGGCAAGGATGTGGTGAAACAGAAACAGTGAGTGTGGCTGGTGGAAGCATCAGCTGCTGCCACCATTCGGGAAATCTCTGGCAGAACTCGCGAGATGAGATGTGTGTGTGCTGTGACTCATCCACACAGCGCATCCACCCTGAAACTCCCACCGTCCACATAGGCACAGGTGTGCGGTGCTCACCATAGAGCAAGGTGGGACTTATCAAGAGTGCATCTGTCCGGGATAAGATGTGTGAACAAGGCAGGACCTTAAAGATGGGTGGGTCAAGGCAGCCCCCATGGGAACAGGGGTACCCAGAACGTCAACAATGGATTCCTATGGTTTGGGTATGATTTGAATGCGATCCCAATACAGCAGTGTTGACAGGTGGTGGGCACTTTCAGATGTGGACAAAGTGGGAAGTCACGGACGGTCTGGTGTTTGGAAGGAATTAAGGGGGCTTCTGGGAGAGTCTTCACTAGCTCTCAGGAGGTGGTTATCAAGAGAGCAAGACTGGCCTCTCCCTGCTGTCCAGCTTTCTGGGCCACCATGTGATCTCTCCCTCTTGTCTGACTCTCCGTGATGTCTTCTGTCATGGTATGTTCACCAAACTGATCCAATGCCCTGCCCTGCCCCTCAACCCGAAGAAGTCCAGATAATTAAATTTCTTTTCAAGGGACTCAGCCCCAAGTCCTATTTTCTTTTGGTAAACCAACTAAAATATATTGATCTTTACAAAAATTGGGCTGAGTAAGAAGACCCATATTAAATTTAGAACAGAATCCCCCGTGGCTACCTACTGCAGAAACCCACGCAGAACACGAAAGGCCTGTATATCCTCACAGGGCACGCAGTGGATGCTTACGGAGGAGTGAAGGGGAATGAGAATGAGAAGAACCTGAAGGACAGCCAGGGACGGGCCTCCTGGAGACCACTCCATGCCCTGATCAGAGTGCACCATTTAAGTCAAATTCAATAGGAGAAGCTCACCCCAAAAGAGTCAGAAAATCCAGGGCTCAGTGCCCCCATGAGCTTTCCAGCTAAGACAAGACATGTTCACAACCAACTTTTCAATGCTGCAGCGTCCCCTCTTGGGGAGAAGATATGAAGTAGGGCCCCTGGAGAGCTGTCTTGTGAGCAGCTGAGGAAATCGCACGTCGAGAACCTGAATTCAGAACAAAAAAGTGGCTGCCTGGATGGCAGCAACCACAAGCTCTCAGGACTCAACTTTCTGGTCTGTGAAATGGTGGGAATGCTATTACCCATCCAGCACCATCACAAGATCTAAAGGAGATGCGGCATGGGAAGGATACAGAAACAGGGGATTGCTGAATACATGTGAGAAGCAAAGGCAGCAGCACTCCCCAGCTCACACTCACACACAGCCCTGTGCTGCAGGCCTACCACTTGCTGCAGTGAAGGGTCCATGAGGTCCTAACACTTGTCCACTGGTGAGTGTGACAGTGACATCCTGTGACACTATGACATGTCTCAGAAAACACAGATTCATGCTGCCCTTTAGTGAAGCCACTTTAGGGGCACAGGAGGCCACAGGCACTCACATACAGAGATTTTTCTTTACTTATGTGGAAAGGAATACTGTTTAACTAAATAAATCAGGTTACAAAAAAGAGAAATGACGGGCCAGTACAATGGCTCAACTGGATAATCCTCTACCTCCAACTGCCAGCATCCCATGTGGGTGCTGGTTTGTGACCCAGCTGCTCCACTTTCCATTTACCTCCCTGCTTGCGACCTGGGAAAGCAATGGAAAACGGCTCAAGTGCATGGAACCATGCACAGGTGTGGGAGACACTGAAGAGGCTCCTAGCTTTGGATCAGTTCGGCTCTGGATGTTGCAGCCACTTGGGGAATAAACCAGTGGAAGGAAGATATTTCTCTCAGTCTCTCCTTTCTGTAAATCTGTCTTTCAATAAAAATAAATAAATCTTTAAAGAGCAAGAGAAAGGAACAAACTGTGACACTCCTATAACCTCCAGTAGCCAGATCCCTCAACTTGCTTATGAAGAGCTGTTCTCCCCGTAGATATGGAGTTTTCATCCTCCCAGGAAGAACAGACTGTGTTCATTGCTGCAGGTGCTGCATCCTACCCCTCCACCAAGGCCCTCCTGATGTTTGAAAAGCTCCAGGCAGTGGAGCACCAAGGATCCCTGAAGCTCCCTGGTTCTAACTTTGTTCCTAAATGTAGCCAGCTTCAAGAAACCCTTTCTGCATCACCTTCTCTACCCTACACTATGACTTCTAAATGAACCTTCCAAACAAGGACACAAGGCCAACCCAGGCTGCAATATCTACTGACCCATTCTTCAGAAAGACAAACTCTCACTGTCACTACCACGGGAGGACAAGCATCCTATAAACTCTGAGAACAAACTCCAGAATCGATTTTTCAATCTTTTCTTTAACTTTCCATGAGACAGATGCCATGCTTTCCCTGTTCTGATGTGACTCCCAGGTACGCAAGATTACAGACACACCCTACTACTTTTAAGAGGTTATATATTTGAGAATGCTAACATGTACTTTAAAATTTATTAGTTTATTTCAAAGGCAGAGTTATAGAGAGAGAATCTTTCACCCACTGGTTCCCTCCCCAAATAGATACAATAGCCACATTAGAACAGGCAGAACCAGGGAACCTGGAATTCCACCTGGATCTCACACAGCAGGCAGGGAACCTTGGGAACTCCTTGGAGTCATCCCACCTCTCACTGCTTTCCCAATTACCTCAGCAGGGATCTCAAGAAGTGGAGCAGACGGACTCAAACCAGTGTCCACACGGGATGCTGACATTGTCAAGTGCTGCTCACCATGCTGTGTCGCCATGCTGGTCCCTACTCACACCTGCTGACCAACCTTGTCAGCTTAGAGAAGTCCTCTTTCCCACAGAGAGCCCTGAGAACTACCAGCACCGAAGTGTGGGAAAAATTGGAACGATGAGAAAATTTGAGGGAAGAAGCTTAATATTTCTTGAAAAAGCAAGAAAAAAATTAATAAACAAGGACATTTGCATATAAAACTACAGACAAAACCCCTGTCAGGGCCTGGCATAGTGAACTAACCCTCTACCTGCCTATGGTGCCAGCATCCTATATGGGTTTTGGTTCATTTCCCAGTTGCTCCACTTCCAATCCAGCTCCCGGATGATGGCCTGGGAAAGAAGAATAAGAAGGTCCAAGGCCTCGGGACCTGGTACCCATGTGGGAGACCCAGAAGAAGCTCTTGGGCTCCCACAGTCAGAGCAGTTCAGCTCCAGCCATTGCAGTCATTTGGGGAATGAATCAGCAGTGAGAAGATCTTCTCTCTGTAACTTTCCTTTTTAAATAAAAATAAAATAAAAGTTAAAAAAAAAAACTTGTCTATGGGCCCAACATGATAGCCTAGTGGCTTAAGTCCTCGTCTTACACATGCCAGGATCCCATACAGGCACCGGTTCGTGGCAGCCTGGCAGCCCCATTTCCCATCCAGCTCCCTGTCTGTGGCCTGGGAAAACAGTCGAGGATGGCCCAAAGTCTTGGGATGCTGTACCCACATGGGAGACCTGGGGGAAGCTCCTGGCTCCCAGCTTCAGATCAGCTCAATGCTGGCCATTACAGCCACTTGGGGAGTGAATCATCAGACTGAAGATCTTCCTCTCTGTCTATCTGACTTGGCAATAAAAATAAATACATTTTAAAAAAATTTTTAAAAAACCTTGTCCACAGAAAATACATCTGTATAAAACATGGGCTTCTGGGATGTAGGGCTGACCCACGGGCAGGAAGGCTGAAGATGTTGTTACGGGATTCTGGAACTTGGGCACTCTAAAGTACCATGCAAAAATCATTTATTCACTTTGCTTTACCTGGAAGGTACACTGACAGAGAGAAGAGAGAGAGAGAGAGTGACAGCCAGGTAGAGAAAGAGAGAGAGAGAAAGAGAGAGAGAGAGAGATCTATCCATTGGCTCACTCTCCACACACATGCAATGGTCATAGCTGGGCCAAGCCGAAGTCAGGAGCCAGGAAATGAAAACTATTGATCCTAATAAAAGATAAACTAAAATTACCTTCAAATAAAGCAAACACAAAGAATTGCATCAGAAAATGAAAAAATACAAGACATGTCAATGGTAGAAAGGAAAGGACACGAAGAAAGGACAGAGGCAAAGACCAGTTCTCATCCTTAAAACCCTCCACAGGAGGTCTAGCAGGCTGACACTCCTGCTGCCGGACCAGAATCCTCTACTGGAGCCAGTTAGAGTCCCAGCAACTCCACTCCTGATTCAGTTTCCTGCTAATGGCCTAGGAAAGCAGTGGAGGACAGCCCAACTCCTTGGGCCCTTGCACTCTCTTGGGAAACCCAAAAGAAGCTTCTGGCTTTGGATCGGTCCAGTCCTGTCCATTGAGACTACTTGGGAAGTGATGTCTCTTCTTCTCTCTCTATAACTCTGATCTTCAAATAAAAACAAATAATAAATCCAAATAAACTAATCTTTAAAACAAAACAAAGCAAAACAAACCTGCCAGAGCATCCTTTAGGACTAAGACCACAGCCAAGCTCCTTCCAGTCTGTGGGAAGGAGCCCTCAATCCTTCCCTCACACCCTCCGGTTAGCTCTTACTCACCCCTGGCTCTAGTGGAGATCTCCACCTCCCTGCCCTGGCTGCTCTGTCAGGCAAATGATCACCTTTTTGCTAGCTCAGCCTGAACATCATCTCCTTGGAGAACCCCTGGTGCAGCTGGCTGCCTGATCCCATCCTGCCAGGCCTCCTGTGTGTTCCTTATTCTAGATGCTAGGACAGTGGTAGCTAATGCCAGGCAGCCTGCACAGCCACCTGTTGATGCAAAGGTGGATTTCAGGAAGCATACCCACACGTGCAGTGCCAGCAATGTCTAGAGGGCTTGGGGATGGGAGGCAGAGCAGGCTGAACAATA